GGGTATATAAATCTAGGGTTGTTTAACTAGACCCGGATCGTCTGCGGTCTGTCTATATCCGGTTTAACTCGAACCAGATCATCTCCAGCCAATTGATTTTTCTTTTTGTCGGCCTCCACCTAAATGATTAGTGACTTGTTATGAAAAAGTTTGAACGATGAACAAATTTACACATGTCTTTTTTATGTTTTGCATCAATACCGGATTGGACTAAGGGCTTGATTCGCATAGCATTTTAAAGACTATTATACTTTTTTATCATTAAAACTTGATTGGTTGACAGAGCATTAAATAGGGCATTTAGTAACTGCAAATTCTCTCAAAATGTTTCTCCCTCAATGCCCTCAAATGGAGCATTTCCAGAACATTGATATCTAAATATTTTTACAAAAATTAAAATAAAATTATATAACTAACCAATTTATTTTATATTACAACAGAAACAAATTATATTAACTTTTAATTATTTAAATTCATATTTATCATTATTTTATTTATTTTATTATATTAAGATAATATTATAATATAATACTAATTCAATTAAATATAATTTAAATTCGAAAATATTATAAAAAAAATTTATGTTATACTTTATAAATATAATATATACAATCATTTCAATAAAAGTAAATATACATAATTTCTGTAATTATAAAACATATATATGTATTAATATTTATCATTTTTATATGTTCTATTATTTTTTAAATAAATTTTAATAAAAATATAACATAAATATTAAAATTTATAATTCTTAAACATATTTATATTTATATTAAAATGAAAACTTAATATATACCATTAGTTTATTTGTCATATTATTTGTGAAATAGTATTATAATAAAATAATAATTTGATTAAAAATAAAAATTGATGTAATAACTTATGACTAATATATATATAATGTATTAGAATACATATAAATAAGTAAATAAAATAATTTATTTTAATTTTATATCTAATAATTTACAGCTCAACCAATCAGTTAAATGTGTATATCAATCAGAGCATACTGCTCTAGCTGCTTACTGCTAATACTGCATTATGCTACTGCTCATCAAAAAACTATACCAATCAAGGTCTAATTTGGGTAGGGATAGGCAAAAAGCAGGAACCGAGAAACCGATCTAAACTTGGCCCAAATTATCCGAACCGATTCTCCTAAATACCGAATGAGTTCTAGTACCGAAAAATCCAAACCGAGAATCGAACAATCCGAAGTATCTACGACATAAACTAACCGAAAGGTATTTAGATTTAAAAGTAAGATATGTTTATGTAGTTAAAGTGATTTTTATAGTTTTTTTTTGTTTTTCGGTCAATTCGGTATTGTGAATATATTATTCGAGTAAAAATAACAGATTTGGGTATATTATTAAAAAAAAAAAATCTCATTTATTTCTAGTAATAAGGAAAGGGAGCAAATATCTTTCATTCTTAATGTTGTCTAGTTGATTTCCGAGTATGAATAATCAATGATCTTGCTAACAAATGCGTCTATGTGCAATTCATTGTTGCTAAAGGTGCATTCCGCTAATGAATAATGATCATGGTTTAGTGATTCACTTGAAATTTTGGTTCTTGATGAGGTGTTTTGGTTCTTGATCAAGTGTGTGTGATATATTTCTGCTATCAGACACATCTTTTCTTGTCATATGGATATGAAAGTACTTTAAAATGCCTTTTTATGTATGATACCAAGAGGTAACACATATGTGGATAATAACACCATCCCATTTAAACTCACATTCTCCTATAAGGTTGGTCTTGACTGGGTGATTGAATAATATTTTACAAAACTTGAAGAATTTACAACACAACCTGGTCATGTGAACCATTGCAATAAGGCTGTGACAAAGAAGAGCAATATCACAGTAATGTTCAACAGTTTTGGCTATGATGATGATTGTGTTTTCTTGTTATAAGTGTAGTCGTTCGGCCTTTAATAGTGGCGTTTAGGAGAAGAAATTCATGGTTAAATTAAAAATGCAGAAAATGTTAAATTACAATGACCAATTAGTTTGATAAAGCAGAGAATAAACTTTGGAAATAATAAACAAAATTTCCGGTGCCGGTAGGCTCGAAGGATAAATCGTAAGATTTGGTATGGAGATCATGAATTATCAGTGGTTGCAAGTAAAAACGGCCATGAAGTAATAACTTAGTCTTGTCAAGAATTGCTATTGGCCAGAGTGCGGATCCGGGGTCCTTCAACCAAGCATAAATTTTGGCGAGGTCTATCGAACACAATTTTTCCCATGTCTTCTTGTTGCCGTCGAACGACCATATGACTTGGGTGGGCCAGTTTTTCTCGGATACACACAAGCGGTCATCGAGGATGCACATGGCAACGTCTTGAGGGTCGAGTACACGGGCAAAGGGAGTTTTAGAGACGACTTGAAAAGTTTCCGTGTGAAGATCGAAAGACAATATCTTGGTCTCTTCACACTCAGTGAACCAATAAAGCGATCCATCTAAATACACAGGTCTATGGAAAGATATAATCCGATAAGGAGAAGCAGGGAGAACGTACCTCCAAGCATTGGTGCTAAAATCGAAAACTTCACACGTAGTCACGTTGTCTAGGCCGAATTCGGACGAATTATATAACCAAATTGGCTTGTAAGTGCCCTTCAATTTATCTTTACCCAACCCAAGCTTAGGACATGGGATGCCAAAATCTCCTTTGTTATACCTTTCGATAATGAGGTGTTGAAAGCTGGAAAGAGGAAAACTATGGCACCATCCAGTGGCGGGATTGGAGGAAACTCAGGTCGTAGTCACTGAAGATACATATCAGACCGTCACAACTACCATGGGTAACCGTGCTGCCCAAACCATATATCTTGGCCTTAGAAATTACTGACGACCCCAACACAATTC